ACATCTTCCCAAACACATTTTTTAAGTAGAGGGGATCCATAAGTAATAGTTTGGATTTCAGTGGATAGTTTTAGTGTGTTACGGGTTACAGAGACAAAAACAGATACTCTGAAGGAAATACAGTGGTTTTGTACAAAATTGGTCAAATTTAAGGGCCCTAAATCTCAGAAAAAATAATCACTGGCACTCACAAACCAACATGTGTGACCCCTTCTACAATAATTGGCTGAAATAAAAACAGCACTTATGTTTCTCATTCGTCTTTTAAAATTATTTCGGGGCGTATGGGCAGTTTACCAGAGTGATCATCAAGTCCTGATTTGTTGCAGTGTTACGACATACTGCAACATCACAGTCAGAGCTGTTTCCCGACACTGCTGCGTGCAGTAATTATACAGGAATGTGACTGTAGCAACACTTCAGACGCCTGGCTCCTCTGTCTCTTCCATAACTGTGACTGTCTTTATATGAACCGTGAAAGCCAGTAAGATAATAGTCAATCAACACACTGCAGCGTGAGCCATTAGCATCTGGTTGGCGGTTGGTGGAGGACTTAATATGGGAGAAGCAGTTATTATGAAAACCGCAATGAGTGCAATATAGTGGAAGTGTTGATGGCTGCTTCACTGTAGTTTATTTCAAGCCTGAGAACACAGTCATCCAACCATGAGGAGCTGTGTCATTAACATAAACAAAGGAAAATACGCACTAATCTGATAGCAGTCAAAACCATCTTGTCATTTTGGTCATGTGAAAGGTCAAATTATAACCACTCAGTCAGTAATCACAATATCAGCTCTCAAGAACTCCATGAGTCAATCAGGATCATTAAAACACTGTTGGCCATTTCTCCTCCTCTCTATCTCTCATTCTTCTTCTCTCCATCCTCTGCTCTTGTACTATCGCTCCTTGTTTGTCTCTCTTTCCAGGGAGTCCACAGGTCTGCATGCGAGGCGTCTCCTACAGGGTCACATGGAGGAAATCGTCCTTATGATGTTTGGATGACTCTCATCACAGACAAGGCCAAGCACTCTGTCATCCTCCTGTTCACCAGACCTGGGTCATGTAGGGGTTCATTCGAATAACTCTCAAGCGTTTGTTTCATCCTGCTCGGAGGGGCCGCCCGGGTGGGGTTTGTCATAACACAGGGAAATTACAAAAGTGTCAAATTTGTCTGCAATCAAAGAAAGGGCTGAAATGATTCTCACACTTTCAGACATCCAAGCTTTCCAGTGCTTAGTATTTTACATTTATCCATCTTGTACTGTACATCATGTCAAGCACACTATCTTCTTTTTCCTTTCATCGTGATGTAGCTGCTGTCTTCTCATGAGTAGCGCAGGAAGAAATCAAATATCAAGAGGAAAGTGAATGTGACAGCCTTCACAAAAAAGCACTGCTGTTTTATCTGTTGCTGAAAGTGTAAAAACAGCGGTTTGCTCAGTACTATTGACACTGCAAAAAGCTCTAGAAGGCACTTTTGAGTTTTGCTGAAAATGAAATTGCACAATAGATATACACCTAAATAATGCATCTGGCAGGACATAATGGAATGTTCATGTAAAAATTAACAAATCAAATTTTAGCTGTTCGATCTCAAATACTTTTCAGTGACAGTGGAAGAATAGCTACATCCACCCAGTGGTACGTAAGACAGATATTCTGTTGAACAAATCATATTCCTCTGATTCCTTGTAGTGCTTCTAATGGTATCTGCAAGAATCCACTGTTTGAATGAAAACAACCAATCAGAGCTGAGATGTCTCTGACACAGCTGTCAATCATGTCAATCACTGCCCGTGAACTGCAGTCAGATTGTCAAAACTAAAACAGCGCTGATCAAATATGAATCAAGATTCTGTTACTGCATTGCATCACTGTATTGTATTCTGTTTTGAGTAACATAACTTAGTGTACTGTTTAGTTGTTAAGTTTGTTTGTTTTTTTGTTCCTGTGCACAGGATTTTTGCAAATGCCATTCGAAGCACTATGAGGAGGAGGAGTTTGATTTTATTTCACAGATTACTTGTCTCATTCACTGCTGTGTGGATGTGACAGTTTCTGCAAATATGACAAAAAGTTGATTTTATAAAAGTTACCAACTGTGCCTGTATTTGTGCACGTTTATTGTATTAAATTGGCACACTGCAATCCTGAGTATTTGAAAGTTATCAGCTTCAACTAATTTTTGTATATTCCAGCATAAAACATATTGATTACACATTCTAAATCATACAGTACTTAACAATTTTGTTCCCATCAAATATGACAACCTTGTGTCTGTGTCTACAACTATATAATTTCATAAAGAATCCAGTTCTTCTTTTAACGTTGTGACTGTAAAAAAAACAAAAAAAGAAAACATAAAATAGGAAAACTGGGGTTGTGTATCTTTTTTTTGTTGTATTTAAATATGTACTCACACACAGTGACCTGAAACCTCTGTCAATCAGCTGCTAGTGACTACAACAGCATCTTAGCGCCCTCTGCTGACCCAAGACATGTATGTGCACATGTTAAAACAAAATCACTGTGAGTATAAACGTATATTCAGTATAACTAGCTGTTAATACGAATAGAAAGCCTGAGGGTCTGATGGATACTGTAGTAATAAAGTAAACTGAATATACATTTATACATTGCATACATGCTTTGTGTCATTTCCTCCACGCCTTTAAAAAAAAAATAAAAAAATTCCCATATTGAATTTTTTGTTTTTTTAAACTTTTTAAGGTTAGACATTTCACTTGTGGTGATCGCACCATAGAAAAAATGCATTTAAATGTATGTTTAAAGGAACGAGGACTTTTTTCCTGGATCAGAAATTCCTGTTTGAAATTTATTTTTTCAATGTTTTAAACCTCACAGTGGAAATATTACTGGTGTTCACTTGGAGTATCTAAAAGGTATCTAAAACCAGGTTTTGAGATATACAAAAAATGCCGGGTTGCAAACCAGGATTTACAAATTTCCAAACATTTTTAAACATAACATGACATCCTGTAGAATAATCACATCACTGGTTATCAAGTCATCATCTGCATCACCTGCACTGCCACCTGTGTCTGCTTCACATATTACAGCAACTTCTTGTAATTAAATCGAAAAATAAATAAATAAATAAATAAATTAAAAAAAAATACAGCCAAATGAACAAACCAAAAATAAAATTGGAATATAATTTAGAACTAGTGGAGCAATTTGGATTCTGTCCTGGCAGTGGAACAGTGGACCAGCTCTTTACCCTTGCAAGGCAGCTGGAGGGTTCATGGGAGTTCACCCATCCAGTCTACATGTGTTTTGTGGACTTGGAGAAGGCTTATGATGGTGTCCCTGGGGGGGTCTTGTAGGGGGTACAGCTGTATTATGAGGTACCAGGCTTGCTGCGACGAGCCATCTGGTCCCTGTATGTCCAAAGTAAGAGCTGTGTACACATACTTGGCGTAAAGTAAAACATGTTCTTGGTGCAAGTTGGCCTCTGCCAGGGTTGTCCCTTGTCACCGATACCGTTTGTGATTTTCATGGACAGGATCTTGAGGTGCAGCCTGGGGGAGGAAGGGGTCCGGTTAAGGGAACTTAGAACTGCATCTCTGCTTTTTGCAGACGATGTGGTTCTGTTGGTTTCATCCCACCATGACCTCCAGCATGCACTGGGGTGGTTTGCAGCTAAGTCTGAAGCAGTAGGGATGAGGGTCAGCACCAAGCCATGGTGCTCTGTGGGAAACTGGTGGATTGCCCCCTCTGGATTGGGGGAGAGGTACTGCTTCAAGCAAGGAAGTTCTCTTACTTACTCTTGTTCACGAGTAAGGGTAGCATGGAGTCTGAGATGGATCGGCAGTTTGGCATGGCATCTGCAGTGATGTGGGCGCTGCACCGGACCATCATGGTGAAGAGGAAGCTGGGCAAAACTTTCCATTTACTGGTCTACTACATCCCAGCCCTCACCTATGGTCATGAGATCTGGGTAGTGACTGAACGAATGAGATTGCGGATACAAGTGGCCAAAATGAGTTTCCTCCGTGGGGTGGCTGGGCTCAGCCTTAGAGATAGGGTGAGGAGCTCCGGAGTAGAGACGCTGCTCCTTCGCGTTGAAAGGGGTCAGTTTAAGTGGTTCCAGCATCTGATCAGGATGCCTCCTAGGCGAAAGGCACATCCCAACATATCACATCTGGCCTGGGAATGCCTTGGGGTCCCCCAGGAAGAGCTGGAAAGCGTTGCCGGCCCAGGGTAAGCAGCAGAAAATGGATGGATGTGGTGCATTTATTGGATTCAAACTTTAGGTTAATTGTGCATTTTGTCACTTGTTCTGTACAATTATTGTCAAGTATTATATACAATATTAAATATACATGTAGATGTCACTGTGTCAGTGCTCTTCATACTTAATGATAGAAAAGGGTCCCTTAAGGGAAAAGGTTGGGAACCACTGCCTTAGAGGGACTTTTAGCAAACCAAACACTGAACAAGATTTTTTTTGGGGGGGCGACCAAAATTAACTTTCATGAAATTAAAACACACTGAAATAGCAACAGCTACAGTTATGTCTTACTGTGCGACTCTGGGGTCACGTCATGGGTATAACTAACAATGTCTCCATGGTGGTGACTTGTCCACACATGACCCCCACGTCACTCAGATCGGCAACACGTTAATAAAATAAGCCTTAATAAAATCTGAATGATGGAGTTATATAAAAATGTACCCCCCGTACAGTTCTCACAACCACTGCAATTAGCTATAGAGACCAAAACTGTTTTTTGTACCGGGGTGTAAACATGTTTATTTCTGCTGTAAAGTTGGACAACATGAGGGTTTATGGGGACTGACTCGCTCTTGGAGCCATCAGAGGACTTTGGCACTTTGCGTTGGCTCCATTTTTCAGCCCTGGAGTTTGTTGATTGATCTGAACTAAACCTTTATCTTAATTATCCGAAATTCATGTGTCTTCTTTCCAGAAACACAACAGACCTTGAAAGAAAACAGACACTGGAACATGAGGGTTGTTTTGCATCATTATATACAGCTGTTTTATTTGTGATTTCCCCAAAACATTATCAGTATTTTACTACATACAATGCATGTAATCAAAGTACAATGGATCAACTTCAAAGACAAGAAGAGCAAAAAGAAAAGAGTAACACAAAAAAAAACAGGCGGTGATTTTGACCACAAAGAGAGACATTGGTTAAGGTACTGTATGTATAACACTATTTCTTTTATATATAGGGCTATTGATGGTGCCATCAACAGCAACGCCATGGCAACGGCATATGTTGAAAAGACAAGTTCCTGCTAGAAGCACTGAGGTCTGGTGAGTTTTACTGCATGGCGGTGTGCATGTGTGAAGGTAAAGGTACTTATCTTGGGACTCGGCTGAGAACAGCTACATTTTTAGACTTTTCCTTTGTTCTCCTAATGATGAGAATAGTTCATGCTATGGGAGGTCACAGTCTGTTGGACTTTCTTTGAAAAACAAGAAAAAGAAAAAAAAAAAAAAAAAAAGAAGCTTCAATTAAGTCAAATTAAATAAAATCAAGGAGCTTTTGCATCAGGTTTTTACTTGACATCTAAATCATTTTCAACAGCCGGGCAGGTTTCATAAGAACCGACTGTCGCTGAAAAATCAGCCAAGGGGAATAAATTATAAAGTACTGAATGAAACAACCAGCAGAAAAACACTGACGCAGAACACCCGAGTCAGGACGTGCACCTCCCACTAGCAAGCTTCTGTTGACTCATAAAACTGATACAACAATCGAAGAAACTAACACGTGTGGATATGAAGAGAGGGAAAAATCAGCTACTGAAACTAAACAAAACTGTCAGCAATACAAGGACAGGTCGTCCTGTATTTTGGCTTGAAACCCCTGATATTGTCCCAAAATAAGGCTGTGGGTTCTAGGCACACCAAGGTACAACTGAGCTGAGCAATATGTGCATTTATGTTTTTTAAAAAGACATGAAACTCTCTGTATGTACTGGATGAATTAATGCTCGATTTATTTCTAGCAACCTGGCTAGCCCAGGACTTACTATAGAGATTAGAGTTTTTTTTTAAAAATGAAAAAGAAGAAGAAGAAGAAGAAGAAGAAGAAGGATGATGACAACAAACCATTTTTAGACATCACACATTTTGCAGAGCATTTAAAAAAACACAAGTGCATCATTGGCAAAAACTGCTGGTGAGGGAGAAAGAAGTACACACAAGTGTGCATCGTGTATGTGTGTGTGTGTCTATTTGAGTGTGTGTACTGTGTTCAGTGTGTTTTTCAGTCAGTATGAGTGTGTGTTAGCCTGTGAGTGCAGTTGTTTAAGTGCATGTGTGTATGAGCAAGCGCATCTTTAAAGAGGTAGCGGAGAAATGCAATCAGAGCAACAGATGACAATCAGTCTTAAATGACAACCATCCGTCTGTTATGACAGTAGAAAAGCCGATTTTCTATCTAACCTGCTCTCCTCAGGTTCAAACAGGCGACGATATTTCAGTACGAGCAGCAGACCTTTACTGAGGCCGCTCCAAACTGAGATCTACTTGAGAAACGGTTCAATATTCAGTCTTTTGAGTTGCATTTATTGTTCCGGGGTACAGTTAGTTTAAGTGTAAACACTGAATCAACACATAAGCCTCCTAATATCTGTTTCAAAGGGCAGTTTGCTACTTTTTCTAAGTGAAACTCAAAATCCATTATAACCTTATCCTTTTCCCAAAAGGTCGCAAAACAGATAACACGTTGATGCAATAAAAGAATCCCATGACTAAATATCTTACACTTCCACGAACTGAATCAACTCAAGTTCCATTTCTGCCCCAAATTTTCCATCAACAGCCCCGGATGGTAAGAAATGATATAGTCGATATAGTACAAAGAGTGATCGCTAAAGGCGTGGTGTGACGTTCACAGCATATATCTTGAAGGCCTGGTTTCCTGAAAGCTGAGTGAATGCAGCAAATAAACGCAGGACTCAGAACCAGAGTTGGAGGGAGTTAGAAGAAGGCAGAGTGTTGGGCTGCAGCGAGTGTGTGAGACTTGGCTGATTGCTGAGTAGGAAAAAAAAAAAAGATAAAGAAACAGCTGTTTGTATCTGGAATATCTAATATGGGATCCCAATGTTACAAACCCTTATCAGACATTTAAGGAAAGCTACAGTAGAGACAGACACACAGGAAACCTGCAATACCAAAGCAAAGCAGACTGAAGAGACACCACTGCGTTGGGTGTCGAGTCCCGGCCACAGCCACTAAGTTTTACATTTTAGATGTTAGGACAGAACGGTTATCAAAGACCAACCACCACTCCCCTAAAATGAGTCGGCATCAATCAACTCTGAGACCTCCGTCACTTGTCTCTGAACTGTTGCATAAAGCTGAAAGTGTTTTGCACAAGCCTGACGGTCAGTCCGACACTTTTAACCCTATAAAAAGTACAACTGGCAGCTCTGTGGAGTCCCATTAGACAAACGAGTCCTCTGGCCAAATTAGGTGGCATCTAACAACACCTGTTAGTTTGGTAGTATTAAAGTGTTTTGAGAGCACTGCTAAAATCAAGGAGGCTCGGCCTCTAGCAGGACTAGCCGCCTAAGTCCAAATACTCCCTGTGCACTGTTTGCCTCTAAGTGTCTGCTGATGAGCAGAAGCACATCAGCACATCGCCTCTGGGGTTTTATGCTGCATTCACATAGAAGTCACAATTCCAATTTGCTGATCATATCTAAAATTTGTGGATCATGGTTTATCTAATTTAGCCTGCTTGATAAACTCAAGCTAGGTGAGTGACTTTTGATTAAACTGCTTCTATTTTCCAATAATAAAAATATAATTTTCTTTTCAAGGCTTGCTATGATTCAGATTAGTTTGACAGTTAGGGATATATGCTATTTGTTTTCCTGCCCAGTTAGCTGAGAAAAGCAATACCACGCTACAGCCAGGATGCAGTTAGCTTAGCTTAGCCCAAAGATCAGGGAAAAACAGCTAGCCTGGCTCTGTGCGAGCCTACCAGTGCCTCTAAAGCTGACTAATAAACACGTAATATCTTGTATATTTAATCCGTACAAAAACAGTGATAGATGTTTTTTTGCTGCCCAAAATAATTAGAAAACATCAGATCTGTGTCACTTGTAAAAGAAGAAGAAGAAAAAAACAAAAAAAACTCGGGCACTTGCAGCCGCTATGTGAACGTAGCCTTATTTCCATGAAAAGATTTGAACATGCATTTACACACTTCAGTGGCGAAGTGATGCTAAAGAGGCCTTCGATTTACTGACTTTAAAAGTTCAGTATGCAATTAAGGAGAAAGATGATTGTTGAGTCTCAGGGTGCTCTTTGGTATGACTGATTTGTACCGTGCATGATTTCCCCTTTTCTCCACTCCCCCACTGCTAAGCTTCCCCATTAGTAATGTTGTCCCGTACACAAGGACACTTGCATCATCATGTACTTGACATTTTTGCTGTTCCAGAGACGGACATTGCTGCTGGAGCAGCAAGACGAAGCTCCGACTGCAGGTTGAAGGCGGCAGCAAAGCTGGATGTGAGTGTGTCATTGGCAGGCTGCGCTGCTGTCTGATATATAGGCATCAGTGTTGTGTTGAGACCATTTTACAACCAGTTAAAAATTTGTAGTTGCATTGAATAGCAGTCCACCTCTGTGTTTTGGTGCAGTTGGTGTTCACACCTGATGAGTACCATACTGGAATGCTCAAAACCATCTTTTCAAGCGGATTCCGGCCTGGATCAGCGTACCAATCCTGGGCACAGTACACAGCACTCACACCAATCAACCGAACTGGACTTTGGGGCCAAGTATACCAGGATCCAGGACTGGGTCCCCAATGTGAAAGCTCCCAATTTCTAGGTCATCAAATACCAACAACCTTGGTTAGTGGTTGGACATAACCGACAAACCAAAGTATCTGTATTTGACGACCTGAGAATGAGACTCAACTGTCAACTATCTTTCTCCAGAGTTACATACTGCACCTTTAATTTTTGTAGGCTTACATTGAGATCTGAGGTAAAAATCATCCAGCATTTGAAAAGAGATAAAAAGGGATTTCCTGTACATATACACACAAAAAAAATAACTTCTAAATTAGTGTTAAAAATAAAAACGGATGCTTTATCATAAACACAATCATGCTGCGACAAATATATATATATATATATATATATGAGTTTATATGTATAAATATATATATATATATTTGTGTGCGCAAGGGAGAGGTAGTATGTTTGGTTAAACGCAGCGCCAAAGCTTAGCGGCACGCCATCTGTTTGTAGAGACAGAGACAATAGGAAACACACAATGAGGCAGAGATGAGGATCGAGTGAGTAAAGCAGAAAAAAAGTGACAGTTAACATTTAGAAACATTGGGATCCACTCATATACTGACTGGTCTACTGGCAAGGGGGACTCTACTGGACAACCTTCTTTGTACAACTGGCAACTAGTTTAACTATACGTTTGACGTAAAAACACTGCAAAGGTTGCTGAGGAGAGAGTTGTGGCGTGATTGTGTGTTTCTTTGTGAGTGTGTGTGTGTGTGTGTGTGAGTGTGTGTGTGTGTAGTATGAGTTTATGTTTGGTTCCCTTAAAGGCTATTGTGAAAAGTCATCCTGTAAAACATTGAGGTATCTGTTACATGTTTCCAGCTGAGTGAGGTTTCTGTAAGTAAGGCTACTGAGGTGGAGCTGCTGACCTGGGTTTGAGGGGAGGGGGGTCGAGTGGGGAGAGTGCGGCCTCGTTTGGGTTCATTTGAGCACTAATGGCCTCTCCCATCAGCTACAATACTCAGCCATTAGCGAAAAAAATGTAGGCCAGATCCGTCTTGCAGGCTTAACTTAATTCCATTATCCAAAATCATGTCGAAATAACTGATGCTTCACTCTCTGAACCCTAGAAACTGAACACACCCTCCCCCTGTCACCCCGCCCTGCATTCCTTTTTGAGACAGATGATGTAGATGATGTTGATGTTGAATGTAAAAAAAGTCCACTTTTTTATGTATTTCAACAATTACTTTAACAAACAATGATTTTTTTAAAAATCTAAAATTCCAAGAGCTGCGATGCGAGACATAGTGAGAAAGGTAATGTCACACTTTGGGTTTAGGAGGCGACATCTCATCAGTCACTGCACACCCTTCCTGTAGAGCACGTCACTACACCTTGCCTGTGGCAACTCTTATTTTAAAAATACTTTTATCTCCTAAAATCTTCTATACAGATTCTACACAGTCTTCTGGAGGTCCAATCCAAAGGTTTCTTTCCTGGGTCAGACAGGACGAAGGAGCCAATTCCTGCATTGTCTTTTTCACAGTAAAGTGACACGTCCGATTCCACAGCAGCCGTCCCGCTAAATCTCAGACTCCCATCAGCCCTTGGTGCACCACAGTTTTCTGAAAGCAGAGCCTGACTGGCTGCTGAGTTAAAGCTATGAAGAGTAATCCTGCTGTAATTGGCTATTGCAGAAGAAGAGGCGGTTAGATGGTTGGGTGGTGGCTGAAGAGGCACGCCCATGCTGCTGCTGCAACAGTTTGCTGTTGGCTAAATCCTGTGTAAGTCAGTTGAGTTGAGGCAGTGTTAGTTTATGATCACTTGATTGTGTTTGACATCCTGCTTCTGGAAAAGCAGATGTAGCTTTTTTTCGTTACAGAGCTTGGGACTGCCTTTTCATTGACACTGAAATACTTTTGCTCCACTGTGTACAGCTCCAGGTGTAACACGGCTGCACTGACAAGTCTTTTCTTATTCCATTAGAAAAAAGGAATTAGAACGAGTGCCAGTATCCCAACCCTGTCCAAACAAGAAAGTGAAGCCACATCTTTAGTTATAAAGGGCTAATCCATGAACACTCAGCTGAAATCAAGGGAACAAGACATGTGGAGCTTGTTCATTTGCACTTGAAAGTCTCCAGGAGTCCACCGGGCTCATCTCTGCTTCATTAAAACGACGTCCCAGCGCAGCAAGCCAAGCGCTAGCGAGACAGCAAACTCTGACACATATTAAAATTGACAATCTTGAAAAGAACAAAAGAAAATAGAGAAAAAAATAAAAACAGATTTTCACCAAAATGAAAATATCATGGATATACTGTATAATTGTCAAAAGCTTATCGATAGATTTTAGAAAGAGAGAGAAAGAGAAAAGATGTACATCCATAAGCTTGGAATGGACAGAGAGGACAATTCCTGGTGGCAACATACTGAGGTGTCGGGTGCATTGAAAGGGCTGCCAGAAAGGATGCTCACACTGATGTTTGTATCATGCATGAGACTCAGCCAGTTGGAATGATCAACACAACCACCACTGGGAATGTTCAGTCACATGAAGCCTTTGCAGGTCAGATTTCCGAGTCATTGCACTAGTAAGAGCATCACCCGAAACACGGGTTGGACTAAGGTAGCCATTGATTAGAGACTATATTGTCCAGGTTTCCTGATGTTCCGTCAGATGTGTTGATCTGTGAAACCTGCTCTTGTATGCCAAACACCTAAAATCATTATTTTGTTGTTGTGAGATTGAATTTGAACTCACGAAATGATGGCTGCCAAAAGTTTCAAAAAGCCCAACCCAACCTGACAGATTTCTTCAGCGCACCCTGAAACAACTCAGCAGCTTGACCAGGATTGCCACCTCTGCCGATTCTAATTGAATACAACATAAGAGTCCATCTCCTAATTGCATATAGTGCTGTATCTCCAGAGCATCTTGCCATCGACAATTGAATTCTCTTAGTATTTTGCCTACATTAATCTCTAACTATGTACAGACTTAGTAAGTGGTATTTACAAAGTTTGTCCACAAGGGGGTGATCCAGGCCTGCATGAGGGGTGAGCATGCACCGTGTCGACTGAAACGTGATATGATATGTAGTGATGTTGAAAAGTAACATCCTAAACCTCGCTTATGTGGCTGGTGTTGAAATGATATAAATGTGAAAAAAAGAGGTATGAGGCTTGATTTTATAGTTAATATAAAAAAAGTTCTTTCTCATGTTTTATAACTCTGCCCAGCTGTTTCAAAGCATCTGACGGATCTCATTCCAATAACACTACAGGCTATACATCATTTAACTACTGTACATTGCTACCTTCTGTAGAATATTCACTTTGCCCTGAAAAAAATAAACTTAAGGCTGACATTAATCACTCAATATTTTAACGCAGACGACTCTGTCCTTTATAATGTAGCTATTTAATGAGAAGGTTGGCTTTAACAATGATCTCTAATGGATTGTACGATCATGCAGACCATTTAAGAGATTTTTTTTTAGGAATGACAATCTTGTAGTCATTATTATTTTTAAAAAGTTTCGCTTTTAGCTTACTTATGCTGTTATTTAGTATGTTTAGAAATCACAGTGATGCCTAGAGCTTCAAAAACAATCTCTGTCTTATGATTGTAAGCTTACGCCACACACACCAGAAACACCAAGTACACAATATCATCAGACAAACTTTTTCCCTGAGGCAACAGCCGGTAGTTGGTTTCTGTCCAACTATCTAGCTCTAAACTGTCTTAGCAGCAATCTAACCAGCCGAACAAATATTTATTTTTTTTGGATAATCACTATCCACGAAACATGACGTTGTGTTTGCGTATGTCAGTCTACAAACTTCACAGGTCCAAAAAACGACAAAATCCAACAGAGAAGTGCTTCCCTGCACTGAACCCTCGGTCAGAGCCTGTACACACACCCCCTTGTGGTCCATCAATATTCTCATGTACTGTACACACATCATAAAAATAGAAGGACTCCTCACACACTCCTCGACGCTTTCTCTAGTGTGTGTAAATGTGTCTTTTGAAAGACAACACACACACACACACACAAACACACACACACACACAACTGAGGAGGGGCCTTCAGATCCTCTACATTATACAACACTCTTTGCTTCCATGGAAACAACCATGTTTCGCTCTCTTAAATATACATATATATATATATATACATATATATATATAGATATATATATATATATTCATATATATCAGCTTATATGTATCATTTATATTTATATAGCATTATACATACATTCTTGTTTTGTGAAGTTCCCTTTTGTCTTGTGAACAGGGAATTCCAACCGTAGCAAATCCCTCCATCTATCCAACCTCCTTTGCTCATTCCTCCTAATCTCACCTTTCTTCTCACCATTCCCATACTGACACATTCCTACTTTAACTTCCTGTCTGACCATCTGATACCTCTCTTTGCACATACACAGATACACAGGGCCGAGCAGCCCGTCTCAACCAAGTTTTTTAAACCAGTAAAACAAGTTTTTACATTATATTATTGTAAGCTTGCTGGCCACGTTGCTGTTTAATATATTTGGATGTCTTTGCTGTTAATTAACTGTAAACAGCGATAGCTTGTAGCTAACACGAGTGTAGTAACATTGCTAGCAGTTTATCTGTACCTAACACGTGCCAGCATGGTTAATAGATCTGTGTATCCACTCCTGTCTGCCCCTGCGATGGTGTGAACATGGAACAATGATATGAGGATGATGGTAAAGGGGATGTGACAGTCACATCCAGCGAGATGTCTCTGCTGTAAAGAAAATGGCAGGAATCTGGCCGGGGAAAGGTGATGATGAGAAAAAGGCAATGTTTTTTTTCTGGGTTTTTTTTTTGTTTTGTCTTTTTTGGGGGGAGTTTATGGATTTGGAGAGGATCAGCATGTCCGTCTGTTCCAGATGTCAGTGAGTCAGGATTTCTGCCTGGTATAATGACATTTAATGCGGCACTGTGTTTGCAAAAGCAAAGGTTAAAGTAAAATCTCGTTATCCACGTGCTGTGGAAATCCACAGCATATTCAGGTGTCTTAAATCCAAAAGGTCCAGAGGTCCAGGCAGCTTGAGGTCAGTAGGAGGAGGAGGAGGAGGATGGGCAGATAATAAAGAGGTGAAGGTTACTGTCTACCTTTCTGATTATCCATCTTTTCCCTTCATGTCCAGGCATATACTGTAAGAGCTGGGGTTCTCTTGGGGAAAAGGCGGTAAGGGCTGGTTAATCATCCTCTGGTGTGTGATAAGTGTGTATGTGTATGCGAGCGTGCCTCCTCATCTGCTATGTAGTGTTACTTTTTTATGTAGTCTTGGTCTTAGTCCTGTGTCAAATGTCCTTGTCAGTTTGTATCATATTCAGTCAACCTCATACAACAGTCTGGGTGTTTTAGTCTTATCATAGAAAACGGTAACTACTTAAGTAAAGCTTTAAATCAGTGGAAACTGTTGACATTTTAGTCTTTTTTAGTCAGATTAAATTGAACATTTCAAAAACTAATATTTTTTCTTTTGTTGTAAAACTTATTTCCCATAAGATTTTATCTTATTAACTGATGATAACACAGGTTGGTGATTAAGAATGTAGCTTTGCAGAATGTGTCTGGTTTAGTTGTCTGATGGTATCATCCAAACATGGAACGTGTTCTGAGCCTGAATGTGTCTCGTCATGTTTGTGGTATTCTTACCAGCTATTTTATGGGCACATTGCTTCCTTCTGATAAAGCAATGGATTCGTATTTCTCAGCTTCACTGTTACAAAAATAGACCCAATTTTCACTTTGTTTTTTTCTCCCAAGTCCTGTTGTTTCCACTGTTAGCTTTAACTTAAGTAAGTAAGTTATTCCAGGTCCTCCTGACAGTGCTCACTGTGTGCTGCTGGTGTAATCCTGATATGGCATGTGCAGCACAAGGAACGGGACTGCTGCATTGAAAACAAAACAAAACAAAACACTATAATATTTCATCTTCTATTTTTTGTCAACAAAAATAAAAAGAGGTTTTAGTAAAGTTTTTAAAACTACATTTTAGTCTTGTCTTTTTCGTCAACAATGTTGCATGTTGATATAGTCACAGTTAGTGTTTAATTATGATTGCCGTCTCGTCATCGTCTTGTCTTAGTCATGGAAAAAAAGGTCGCTGACGAACACATGTAGTCATAGTTTTCGTTAAGAAAACTAACACCACTGCTATGACACCTCGCTGCCAAACACTTCCAGCACCAGCGGGGTGAGCTGCAGGCTGTGCTCGGGCTGGAAGGAGAGTGAGCGGTACTGCTTGGAGTGCTCCTCGTTCAGGCTGCGCAGGTCGGCAAGCTTCTGGATCATCTTGGCGTAGAGGAGGCGTCCGCCTGGGTGGTTGACCCGGATGTAGGCCTGCAGCGCATCCGACAGGTGGTCCTGCAGCTGCTCAATGCGCCCTTGGTCTTGGACACCGGGGCGATCTGCCGTTGGGGAACGGAGAGGGTGCAGTATAGGGAGTATGAGTATGCCCATAATGAGGGGAGGTCACAAACAGAGGAGGTAGGAAAGAGGTGAGCAGAGAGAAGGAGGGGCACAGGGGATAGAGGAGATTAAGGTTCAGGTGGGGAGATGGATGGACAGGAAGAGAACATCAGTCAGAACAGTTTGTGCAGTGGAATGCTCATCATGGTCTATATTGTTACACTTATTACCAAATGTACATACAAACAGTATAAATGATAAGTTATCTTAAAGCTAATGTAGATTACTCAGACATGTCATCAGTAGATATATGTGAGTGGTACATGCTCAAGAACAGTTTCTAGAACAGACCAAAGTGTCATCTTATGAATGGAAGGAGCAGGGTGCCACCGAGAGGCCCGTCATCAGGGTGGCATCAAAGGGTACATATGACCCTAACTCAAAGGTCAATCATTGTTATTGTTAAAATACAATTCAGCTTATCATCTGATACCTCAGGGTCAGAAGTGCAGAACAGACATGTGCTGCTCATGTAAAGATGTAAAGCATACTGCAGCCTACCTAGCAACTTCAAAGTGCCTCACCAAAAATCAGGGCTCATAAAAGAAAAGTCATGGTACACAGTGAACAAGTAAATGAAAGGAGCAGAGTGGCGATGACCAAATTTCAGGCCAAAATAAAATGTGAAGATGCACCAGATATGACAGGCCACTAGCTGTGCTGATGCTGCTAGGTGCTTATAGAGCTAACAGTGATGACATAGTTAATGGTGTTAAAGGGGTTTCCGCAGCAACACCACCATGGTTCGGGACAATGTTATCGACACTAATCATACAATGAGCAGCAATGCTAGCTAGCTCCCACCTGACCCTGGTGGTATGCATAACAGCGTGACTGTTGCTAGCTTTTCAGTGTAGCATTAGCTCTGTTGTGGTACAGCATAGTGCTAGTTCAACTACTAACTCAACAGTAGCAAAATAAACCTACATGCTGAACCGCTCAAAAATATTTTCGGTGGTTTACCGACTAACTCATCGACATCTCTTGTATTGACTATGTCAGGCCATCTTGGGGCTAACCAACACTTCAAAGTTAAGCTAAATCATGGCAAGGGTGAAAGCTGCACTGCCATTTTTCAAATTGTGGTATCTGAATATTTATGCATGCTGCGGTCTCTAGCAGTCCTGGAATTGTATAAATTGGGTATAATTAATAAAACATGTGGATTCAGTGACCCAACTGTATTCATGTGCTATGAAGCTGGTCACTTAAGTAGTTAACATTTTTCATGTTGGTATTAGAGCAAAGGGAAGATGGGCAGTAGAGGTGGCGGTGCTGAAGGGGGTGTGGGTGTGGATGAGGGTCCTAATAGCTGGCCTGTCAAGGGATATAAAAAACAAACAAAAACAAAACAAACTTGTTTTTAATGGGATGTTCTGAGTCTTACTATAAAAAAATTGAGTTACAATTTAATTTTTTATGAGCAAATCCACATATTTATAAATGTTTTGAGTGTCATTGTTTTTCTTTCTCTTGTGTTATGAATATATCTTAAGATTACTCACCTATATTTCTTTGATTTTGAAAGGTCATGAACAGAAATTTGGATATGGCATTTATTAAAGGTCTTTGGTAAACAGTGGAGACAGAGAGCCTTGGAAATGTTTTAGATGGTGAATGAGAATGTGTCATCTATTCTTGAAGTGGCCTTGCTGCTTGATGACCTCATCCAGTGATTATGTTCATTAACTGTTCTCAACTCCTCAATAAAAGCTCACAAACATTCATTTCTGACTATGTGGTAACCTCATACTTCATGATTTTTCATATGTTACTGTCAGCATCAAAAACACACTAAGACTCAATCCCTATACACCCCTTGCCTGCACCACTTGTTCTTACCCCTCTGTTTTGCATGTTCTTGTCAGGGGGTAGGGTGCCCTGATTCTTGCTGGGATAGAGGGGTAGGGTAAAGTGTTGGGATAGAGGGAAAGGGTAAAGTTTTAGAGCTACACAGTCCTCAAAAAGGAGGTTTTTCAGAGGTACACTTTGAACCAAGTGTTGAGAAATCACTGACAAGATGACTGTATGAGCAACTAAAGAAACCCACAAATGTATTTCCTTTAGAAAATGAAGATTTAAATCATGATAACCATTGTATTATCTTTAGTCTGATGTCATTTTAATGTATTATAGATGATAGACAACATCGTCACAGAGTTGCATGTGCAACTTGGGGGCAGAAAGCAGCACTCTTTATTGTGCATCTAGCAGAGCCAAGCTCCAAAGCAGAGATGGCAGAGAGTTGTTGTGTAGTAAACTGCACCAACAGCAGACAAGATGGATGGAAAATGTTTAATATTCCAAGGGGATCACATCCCTTTGCGGAGAACAGAAGAAGAATATGGATCTAGGTTATTAAAAAGGCAGACTGGGGTTCCCATGCTCCTAATAACAGTAAGTACCTTGGCTTCCAGTGTTACTGGTGCCAGCCATTTCCACACTATCCCAGACCTTCTTAGCTAGTTGTCACAACTGTCTCACATCTTGTGCAGTTTACAATTCTTTCAAATGCGGCAGGTCATAAAGTCTCCTTGTCATTAACATTTTTATTTTGACTTAGTTAGCCTAGTGCCACTTAGGTTACAAATATGCTCCTTATATTTAGTATGTTTCTGTTATTTGCCCGTTCTTCCAAAAAATACATTGTTCCTACTAAGCAGTTTACATGGCTGATGAAAATTAAAATAACACTCCTGTTTACAAGCAGCCATACATACTCCCATTAACATGCCCTCACATGACATTTATTATGTCAACATATGAGACTGTGGAACAGCTGGAGCCGCTTGTCAAATTGCTTCTTCACCGGTGGCAGACTTGTTGGACTGCGTGAAAACAAACTCCCTCTTTGGCATGCATGAGTGTATTTCATAGGACATATCAGCCGTACAAGTTTTTGTGTTTCAGCAAGCTACTTTTTGCTGAACATTTATTTGAACAACCTACCCAACTTTAATCAGAGACCTGATACATATGGGCTACTAACTGTCAACTATTGTTCGCTAACAGTTTCTATAATGATGTATTAATATGCAAATTAAAGACAACAAACCTAACTCTGATATGACACTCAATTCAGCCAACAAGAATTTACAAATAATGCTAAAAGTACTGATTACAATGGTTGACTGCAATCTTGTGATGTGGAACCAAAGCGGTTTTGCCCCTTGGAAGTGTGTGAATCCAATAATGTTTGTATGCAAGACACCAGTCTATGGTCCTTTTCCTTTATAACAAGCAGAACAAAAAAAATTGATAGTAGTATTCCGATGTCTACTAGCTAGCTAGCTAATTGCTGATTTGTGCTGATAGTGTGAAACTTCAGTTGCGAACGTATCGCGAGTGCCCATGCTTTTGTATCTCCATCTGATAAATGGCAAATGTAATTGTGATAAAACCATTATTGCCATTGTCACGTCTGCTCAGTAAAAGCCATCTACAACTACTGGTGACACACCATGGTCCTGAAGGGCTGTCCCATTTCATATGGGAAGATTTCAAACACTACTCCTTGTAAATTCCTGTTCCAAGGGACAAGGGCACTCAAAACGAGAGGTAAAACTAAGAAACAGGATTGGATCTAACTCTTGAGTACATTTTGTTCAGCAAGCTACACTGTTTTCTACTTTTCTTTGCTTGACTTCGTTAGTTACTAACACTCTTGGTGAGTCAATCTACCAACACTCTCACTCTTAAAAAAAATGCCTCAGCTGGATATACACCTACACCGTGAACACACAAATTAACACACAAACACAAGCAGTACCTGGGGAGAGTAGACAGATGGCCATGAGCAGCACGTGTTCCTCCTCGTGCAGGTTGAGTTTCTTCAGACCAACCTGGAACTTCACCAGCGGCTCCAGCAGCTCCAGAGTGTGACCCGCTATGGAGGACAACACAAACACACTGTTAGCACTGCAGGGTCAGTTACATCTTATGATGCTTCTCTATTGATTTATGAATGAAAATGCACTTTATACAGCAGCGGGCTGCAAAGGAGAATCATTAACTCTGTGTGTGTATTTGTACATTGCGGACAGAGAGCGTCACTTCCTGCCCTGCGTGTGTGAGTGAATAAGAACTAAGTGTGTGTTTGTGGCCGCTTTATTGCTTCCATGAAAATACCTGAAGTCAAAACCTCATAGTAATGTGCAAGTGTGCGTAGAAAAGCAGTGTGTGGGTGATCCTTGTAAGGATCTGTTATATAAGGTGGGAGAGAAAAAAAAAAAAAAAAAAGAAAGACAGAAAGAAATCACAGCTGTGTCATCAGCTCCGACAATGAACACTTTTCTCTCCTTTAGAGTGTGTGTTTGTGCGCACAGGCACATTTTAAATGCCTTATGTTGCAGCCTTAACGGAAACTTCCGGAGCATTGGGTACACGAGGAAGACGAGGAGTGTGTGCATTGCGAGGATGTGTAATCAATAAGCAAGGTCTGTGTGTGTGCAGTCTAAACATGCTCCTTATGTGTTTATGTTGTGATTCTGCAGTCAAAAAACACGAAACAGAGCCTCTAATCCGGTTTCATTAGCTTCACTGTGGCGCCATGACAGCAAGATGCAACCAACCCTTTGTAACGTCATTAATGCAGTATTTGAAGTCAGGTCCCCCGCAGCTCCAGGACATGTCCTCCAGACTGAACGACTGGTTTGAACGCAGCATGATGATCTCAATGGCACTCGACTTCAACAGAGCGATCTGGTCCTCTGCTGTCAGCTCTCTGGAAAACACAGTCACAGATGTTACTGCATAAATGTAGAAATTAGAGCGTCTTTGCACATCTGATTGAACCAGCTGGGGCAGAGTGGGTGTCTTTGGTGCTGTCTTTACTTCAGCTCCAAATTTATTTTACTTTATTCTTTACTTTCAATTTCGGGGACAACGGTTGTCTTTGTACTATATCAACTCCTCAAAAGAAACCCTCTCATATTCATATTACTCTAGTCATAAAGGAACAAGGAACTGCATAGTCATTTCCAGTTTTTGTGCTGTGCTTATTGCACATGACTGTATTGAGCATTAATGGACAATACATTGCGGGACAGAAAAAATACACAAAAATTTGGATGCAACACTATCGTTTTTGCTCCTATTGTCACAAGCCAAAGTTGCACAAAGAAGAATTATTTCTCTCAAATTTTGGACGCAAAGTCTGTGTCTCCTTTTCCGAGATAATCCATCCACTTGACGGGTGTATAAAGTGCCTATCTTAGCACCACTATCATTGAAAAAAAAAAGCCTTCTAATGTGCAGAAAATGAGCTCAAAGCTTCACTTTTTTTCTTTCAGGCTCTTATCCCCTCATTACTTTGCAGTGAATTGGATGTCCTGTCTTCTTTCCTTGTTTCTTTTCAACAAATTGCAAAAGTTGCACCAGAGTTATTGTAATTATTTCAAGGAAAAGAACAACCAGCCTTTTTTTTTGTGAAACTCAAAATGTTAACTCAATCAGTATTAGTTTGTGTACATTAGATAATTAGTAAGACTATCTGTAAAATAAGAAACCAAAATATATAAATATGCAATTTCTTTACTCTCATATTGACATAGTTATTAATTTATTAGCCTATAAAGTTTAACAGCATTACTGAATTCTTGAAATTCAGTTATGGGTTTTAGTTTTGGTGTGCTACTCCAAGATTTTCAGTGGCCCCAACGAAGAATTTCTTGTTGAGCAACTACCTTTAGTCAATGCTTAGAGCTGCATAGAGCTCCAGGTTTTCATATTTCTGCAGTATCTTCGAGGTAAACAGAGAAATCCCTGACTTTTATATTCCCAAAGGAAATCCCCCCTAACTACACACAGCTGAGACTCAGCTCCACAACAAGGCAAGCAGTAGGAACAATGTATGTAAATATAAAGCTGGCTGAATATCAACAATTATTGTTCTATATCTGTTTCATAACATGCAAACACACACACACACACACACACACACACACATATGTATTATGCATGCCCATGTGGGTCTTCTCTATTCTTTTATTATGTGGTCTCTTCATGTGCATACATTTATAAACTTATCTCTGAGCTCAGCATGCATTCATAAAGCTACAGCCTGTTCCATCGTATTCCTGGAAGAGCTTGTTTGTTTGGAAGTGATAATAACATATTCACCTCCCCCATTAATGTTCTGCATACATGTGGGCAGCAAATCAATGTGCTCTGCGTGTGGGTAGGGAGCTTGTTCAGGCTGCTAGTTTTCGTGTCTGTACGTGCTACTGGTTGGATTCAGCAGAATTTTACGTGTCAAAGGATCATTATCTGAACTCAGTTAGGAGCAGAGAGCTGCAGGGGTAATTAAGTTTAATTTTCAACATGGCTAGAATATGATTTATGGCACCAGAGCTCTTCTGGGAGAATCAGAGATACAGGTCAGCTTAACTAGCAGGTTTTATTTATTTTTTATTAGTTAATCTGACAGTTATTTCCTTAATCAATCGATTAATCCTTTCATAATAAAATAGTGAAAAATAGCCACAATCTCTATATTATTATTATCATTGTTAAGACAAACAAAAGCAGTAAATCCTCATATTTTTGAATCTGGAACCAGCAAATGTTTGGTGTTTGATGGTGGTTGATTAATGGCTGAAACAATGAATCTATTATCACATTAGTTGCAAATTTAAAAAGAATACAAATCAAATTAGATCAAATGAGTCATTTTAGATGCAGTGAGAATCATGCAAATACCACTAAAGCTGACTTGACATTGTGTGACGAGTGATTCATTGCTGTTAAATCAAAATTCTGAATCAAGGTCTATAAAAAGTAGTGTTCAGAAACCAGTTTTACACACAATGTTATTAAAGCCCCCGTGACAAACTATGAAAATTCTGACCTTGTCCACCCCTAGGATAATGATAAAAATAGAATTACTGCCTTGCGGACCTGTCAAGTTGCAGTTACAGTTTACATCCATGTCTGTGAAAACATGAATGCTTAACACACATTCCCCCCCCCCCCCCCCCCCCCCCCCCCCCCCCCCCCCCCCCCCCGGCAACACAGAAGATCTATACAATCAGTTTCAAGGTGGACACCCGAGATCAGTGTCACCAATTTAATATGTGACACAATGGCCTCTACTTTCCTGGTGCAATGGGTGAGATGGGTGTGGCGGCGCAGCAGGGGGAGGTGTCAACAGATCCAGCTTGGCGCAGTGACAGTTTCGTGCCAAAAGACTACGCTGAAGGTGCGCTAAAAGCTCGCCAGCTCAAACCAGGTCTACTGTCAGCACAGGCGGAGCGCAGCCGGTGAAGCGGAAGTTTGGCTGACCGGCGGACAGTGCACACACATCACCAAAACCTCACAGACAGGTTTCCAGAATGTCAGACACATTAACAATGCAATAAATACCCACAGGAACCACTATTCAATGCAACTATCTGCAATCAGCACATAAATGTATCTCTATATCGACTGTCCCGTCACATCTGATGTCAGATCAAAGGGGATTGGCACCGTTTGGCACGCGTAATGGAAACCCAACCTGATTTGATTAACACAGTTGCAAACTAATGAGTTCACATCCCTCTCAGCCAACCACAAACAGCCACAGCATCAGATAGGGAGTATATATTCAGCATCTGTCATCTTAGAAAAGTCAAAAGAAAAGAAACAGAGTGAGACTGCGAGAGAGAAAGAGAGAGCGCGCGCGCACACGAGAAAAACGCAACATTGATTTACAATTGTGGTGACCTCCTCCCAGGCTACCTTTGCATCATCAGCCCGTGGAGGTCTGCTCGCAGTTCCGTATATTCGGACACTGCGAGCTTGGACCTCCCGGACCAAAACATCAGTTTCCTCCTGGGAGGAGTTTGACCATGTGATGCTGCTGCTCTCTTCTGCCATGGCGAATTGAGTAAACTCTCATTACGCCTTCGCGCAGCGCATTTAAGGGCGAGGAGAGGGGCTCATTTGATTGATGTGATGTGAATCGGCTGTGTTATACCCACTCCACGCCTTCTCTCCTCCCTCTTTCCGACTTGCACAGGTAGGAGGGATGGAGGTGAGAAAGAGGAGTAGCTGCACCAGCGCGCACGGTGTGCCAAACTTGCAAAATCCGCCTGGCCACACCCAGTTGGCGAAGCACAGGTGCGCTGCGCCCCCGCCTCACCCGGTCTGCGAAACTAGAGGCCAGTGTCTCCCCTTCTGTTCCTGAGATATGGTGTTGAGTAACGGCCAGAAAAGTGATTATGCAGAACATTTTTATGTCACAGTGAAGCTGACTTCTGACCTTTTGGATATGTGTATGTGGACATGTATGGTCAAAAGCATGTTTTGTGAGGTCAGGGTGACCTTTGACCACCCAATTCTAATCAATCATTCTTGAATCCAACTGGACATTTGTGCCAAATTTGACAAAATTCCCTCAAGGCCTTTTTGAAATATCCCATTCATGAGAAGGAGATGGACGCAAGGTCACATTGACCTTGACCTTTGACCACCGTATTCTAACCAGTTCATCCTTAAGGCCAGGCAGATGTTTGTGCCGACTGAGATATCACGTTTGCAAGAATGTGCCAGACAAGGTCAGAGTTACCTTGACCTTTGACCACCAAAATTTAATCAGCTCATTGTTGAATCAGAGTGGACGTTTATATCAAATTTGAAAACATTCCCTCGAGGCATTCCTGACATATCGCATTCACAAGAATGAGACAGATGAGGTCAAAATGACCTTGAACTATGACGACAAAATATTATCTTTGAGTCCACGTGGACATTTATGCAAAACTTGAAGAAACTCCCTCAAAGCCTTCTTGAGATATCGCGTTCGCAAGAATAGGACAGACAGATAGACAGACAACCGAAAAACATAATGCCACAGCCATAGCTATCACCTGTGCAGAGCCATAAAAAAAAAAAAAGAGACACTGTGCTGGACAGTAATCTATAATGCTACCTTGTAATGACACCTCAAAATCTATCAGCCGTCACTGCAATGCACTGAGTTTGTACCTGAAGCCTGGGATCATCTTGGCAAAACCTATGACCTTCTGAATGCTGTAGGAGACCAGGTCAGCCAGGTGGGGTAGCATGGAGAGCTTTGTGTCCTCCTCACTGGAGTCTGGACTGCTCGCGCCATCCTGGTACATCATTAACAGGTTGCTGAAGTTCATCTTGGTGTCCACAGACTCTGTTTGAGGCAGAGATTAGGAGACAAGATGAGTACAGAGGACGAAAACAAGGAGAGGGGAGGGGCTGAGTAAGGAAGCGATTAAAGGAAGCTTTTTGAACACAGAAATAGCAAAGAGGTTAAATGAGGTGAGACAACAGGTGTGCTCACAGTAGCGTTAAATTAAACATCTCGGGAGAATTTACAGTCTCGAGCACTGAATACTGACCATTTATATTTATTTTTGCAAAACATTTTTTTTAAAGAAAATGTTTTAGATATTCTACTTGAATTCTGATTAAACACTAAATTAAAAACAAACAAACACAAAAAGCTGGCAAAAATGTCTTTCAAACTTAAGATAACTATTTTATTTCTACTATTCTGCTATTCCGCTGCTGACCTTTTCAGACTTTTAAAGACCTGTGAATATGCTGTTAAATCGACCTTGATCGACTCAAAATAAAAACAAAAACATTTTTTGATTTCAAAATCGCACCTTCACTCTCCATCCTGGTATTTTGGTGCAAACTAACACAAAAAGATGGATCTCTGAATGCAAACTACTGAATAGTACCTATGAGCAGGAACAAGGACACACAGAGGACAAACTATCGATAGACAAATACACAACAGTCTTCAGAATGAATAAAACATTAAGCACAATGGATTTTATGCCATGAGTGTAACAAATACAGATACATGTGCTTGTTTCTCCAGGGAGGAGCCTGGCTGGGTAAATCAGAAATGATTGTACAAGTGTAGATGTTGAATGAGGGTTGAGAATCTCTAGGCACCTCATGATTCGATTCTGATTCAGAATTGACACTTTTTTGAAAAATCAGTTCAGTGCACCTAGAATATAATGACTATTAGCTGCAATAGCTAGACACAACATATACTTTGCAGGATGGCTAAGCTGTAACTTACAGTTTTCAGGTGCTAAGCTCGTAGATTTGTGATATGCCAGTTTCCCTGGAATAACTGGCACTAGACTTTTTGTGGATGATCCTCACAAATTTTGAAACTATTCTTTACATTTGACTTTATCAACATCTTGCTGGCGTACTCTATCTGTAAGTCTGTCGTATGTGGTCAAACTAGGGCTGGGCAATGTGGACAAAAATTCATATGTCGGTATTTTCTACAAAGAGGGCTACATGTTCAGTTGCAAGCTGATCCACAGCTAAAGTCCCCTGTTATTTTTGCTGCATGTGTTTTTCCACAGCAGGGCAGGTAAAAGAAGTTTACCTGTTGGAGGTGAGCTGTTTGCAGAGGTGCAGTAAGAGCCTGTTGTCTGCAGCTCTTCATCAACATCTCACTGAGGCTGTTTCTGCTTGTACTCTACCGCCCTGTAATATTACTACACTTGTCTTAATTGAAGAAAAGCCACTAATAAAGTACTGCTAACTCTAATATTTGAATTCCTATAGAGTAGTAGGCGTCCAAACTGATAACGGAAACACAAATCGGCGCAGCATGGCTTGACTGAACAGGGCTAAAAGTTACAGAGGAAAAGGCCCACAGTATTGTACGTGTGCTACTGCGGTAACTTCATTTATCTCACAGACTGATTTATCGTAGCTTGTGCAACATATAGACAGATGTCACACTGTAGACTAATTAACAGACAGATTACACAGAGGAGCAGCTCTGTGCCTCTCTCCATGTTGATGGAGAAACTTTGAGTGAGTGAGAGGGGCGGAGATGTGTGGAGAGTGTTGGAGAGGAGAGATGAACACTGGTATGCATTATGTGGCGCAACTTGACCCTATATTGATATTAACGGTATTGTCTAAATTCACATCTTGCTTGAAAATATATTGATATATTGTACAAAATCGACATACCAGCCCTTGGTTAAACTGGCCCATTTCAGTGAGGCTGGACTGCTAGTGACTGATGTTAGATGACAGCAAGTCAGAGACACAAAACTATCACAGAGTTCACACGTCTTTGTCTGAGAATAAGTAATAATAATTAATGTTGTAATGATTCATGATGAATAGTCCTGCATTACTATTTCTTTACTTACATATATAAAAACAGCATTCATATATTGATTTGGACGTCAATTACCCTGTCAACAGTTAAAGCTTCAAAGCTCTGAAGCATTCTGGTCAGACCTAAACACGACAAACGTCTACATCTGTTATGTTTCACCTTTCACCGTTCAATTGGTTTGTCCAAAGGCAATAATGATGTTCAAAACTGGATTTTTAATTTCAGATTATTTACTTTTCTGCATCAAGAATAGGGGTTGTAGTTGTCATTTTCACAGCCAGCATCCATATTGTGTAAGAAACTGCACCATTGAACAACAAAAACCTTGTCTTGAGTCAGAATGGCTCAGTATTTTCCTGCTATTTAGCAGCTGCACCTGGCTTTTAAAGGGCAGGGGAGATAACACTCTGATTGGTTGAATTCATGTTACACACAAAACACAACTATGATTAATTAAGGGACTAAATACGACTTTGCCCCTCGCACCTTACTTTGTGCCTTTTGACCAGCAAAAGTGGAGTTGGACACGCCCTTAATGCATTTGCACCATGCACTTTAGATCATGGTCTGATGATCGATTCAGTAGGGCCCCTTATATTTCTAAAGAAAATCATGACGCATCTAATCAATAATTTCCCACACTCCTACGTTGAATGGGCTTTCATTAATACACTGAAACTCAGGATAAAAGCAGAGAAAGATGGTTTATGCTTCTACGTGTTTTCTAAACTGCAGAGGCCCTCAAGACTTTGTCCTTGGTGAAGTTAACCTTGAAGCATGAAAGAGAACAAGGCCTTGAGAAGGAGGACTCTGTGTATCTCACCAGGTGAGTGGTTGAATGAGTCAGAGGAGGCGTCAGACAAAGAGTGAAGGGAGGCGGCTCTGCTGGCACTGCGTGTTACTGGGCCTTCACGCACTGGAGGCTGCGAACACACAGAGAAACACAAATAGTAACATCACAAAGAATATATCACCGTAAAACATTCGCAATGTAACGTTTTAAAAGTTACATTTACACAGAGATTGAAGTTTAAAGTTTGTTGCTATCGTCACAACTGTGCATATCCAAAGTAAGTAGTAAGTAGTAAAGTATCCTTATAAGGTTTACACTCGCGAGTTCAAAGTGACACCCACAACTCAACATGTGGGTGCTTGTGGCCGTCTGCACAGTGTGTCCTAGAATCACACTTGACAATAATAAATCACAGACAAAGGGAAAATGTGTTTCGAGACATTCTCAGACATTCCATCCAATCTGCATCCTCAATCTCATTCACTCCGACGACCCACTTGTTGTGGTCCGCAGAGAGAACGTCATCTGAAAGTATCAAGTTCATGACGTGGGGGAAGAAAATACGACGCCGGTGTCGGGCGGATCACGCCTTTGGTGACTCATGTTACGGGTGTCGAGTAAATTGAAAACACACACAGGCGACGGTGGCTGACATGCTGGTCTGAAGTAAATATGACTGTGGTTACCGATATTATTTAAAGCTATCTGGAGATCAAAGGAGCGGTGTTGAATCCCACACACAGTAAAGCTATTTAACACCACACATTAATAAATCTGGCTGTCACTAACTGTGTAAGTGTCTCGTGTGATCTTAACTGATGTGAAGATCAGAGAAGATAAATTATAAAGAGAACAGTGAAGTACACAAAAATGCAACAGAAGTTTTTTTATACAATGGTCTCGACCAAAGAAACCAAAATTTAGACATGACTGCACTCTTAAGTATATATTACATACTTATTATCGTAATACGCCCATAGCCACTTACCAACAAAATGACATAATAATCAAATCAGTTGTTAATTCACTCACATAATTTATTTTGATCTTTCTGTTTGAAACATAAAATACAGTTCCTGAACCTCAGAATATTTGTGTTGCTAGGCAACCTCTAGCTAAACAGGAAGGGGTTCAAAAGGCCGAACCAGCAGTTTTAAAATCCTGACAAACAAAGAGTGCTACTGTCTGCACAGGCTGCAAAAATGTGAATTTTTATGCCTCAAGTCTATCTCCTTTTCACTTCAGACTATCAACTTCACTGTTGCTAATGAAGGGACAAAAACATGTGTTAATCGACCTCCCAAACCGACCCAACCCACCAACTCCCAACTTCAAGCATAACAATAGCACAATTATCAGGACTAGAGACTAAGACAGAGGTCAGAGATAGTTAGGACTGAGCGATGCAGTGCTCTCCAAGGTGTGTGTGTTTGAGAGAGAGAGAGACAGAGAGAGGGGAAGAGAAGGTGTAAGATGGGCGACTGCGTGCAATGTTTCTGTAGGCCTAAGTATTCATAACTTACTGGGATCGCTGCTTTGTCACTCACTGACCCGTTGGCCAGAACCTGTGATATTTATATAACATTATCACCATTCATTCACTTATTTATTCATCATCTGTAACCGCTTATCTTGTTAAGGGTCGCAGGGAGGCTGGAGCCGATCCCAGCTGACACTGGGTGAGAAGCGGGGTACAGGGCTGACATGTAGAGAACGACAACTACTCACACTCACAGGCGATTTAGAATCCCCAATTAAACTAACCTGCATGTCTTTGGACTGTGGGAGGAAGCTGGAAATCCAACCCGGAACCCTCTTGCTGTGGGGCAACAGTGCTAACCACTGCACCACCGTGCAGCCATAATGTTAGTAGTGAATTTTAAAGCAAAATAAAATATAAAGCCCAGCATAGCATGCCTGGGAAAGCGCCTGCATTTGAACTTGTGTATTCCATAGCAAAGTTCAAAAGCACACCTTATCCTTAACCTTATCCATGCATGTTTATGAGGAATTGTTAAATGCATGTGTTTAGAAAGTACTGAGTGTACGACTGCACATGAGACTTGGATTACACTGCAAGGATTGTTGAGAGTTTGTAAACAGATGTTTTGATATGGATTTTCTTCGTTTTTTTTCAATGTGGAGGCATGCCAGCAAAACCTCATGGATGCAACATGGAGTGAGTGATTGATACACTGTGCAAATGATCATTTTGTAGGTGAAATATGCCTTTAATTCTCTTCCTATAGTCTGTTGGTTTGGATGCCCAGATTCATAGAAACACCAAACACACAAATGAGGCTAGCTTCAAGATCTTTTAGCTTCTCTGGTGCTGTCTTTGCCCTCCAATATAATACTGCTGCATTCATTTAAAACTACAAACATCAAAGGTGTCCCATTATACTGGGTAATGACTAATGTAAATCCAGCCAAACAATATTAAGAATTCTCAGTGGCCCTGGTATAAAGTAGTTAAGTACAGTTACATATTCTCCCCCCTGCTGAGAATCCAACAGGAAGAAGTGGCAGCCTTTCCTGCTGTTTTAGGTATAATTGTAGCCTACTTTAGCCAATTACAGCCATGGGTACAAACTAAAGGAGAGAATGCCAAGGTCTGTAGTGTTGTGGTGAACCAGAGCAGATGGTATCCATATTCTATTATTACATTTTGTTTGTTTGATCAGTTCTTTAGCATTTAACTTCTAAGGAATTTAGTTTCTGTTGTGGCTGGCCACTAACTTGAAAAAGCATATAATGCAAGTATACTGTGCTGTATCTAACTTGTCTTGCTTCTGTATCAATTTGTTTTTTACTGGAAAATGTCCTATTACAGCCTGTTGCCGCGTGTTAGGGAACCCTCCCATCTTTTGCATGACATCATGACCTGCTCCACCCGTATTTATGGTGAACAACAAAGTGATTTTGGCTACACAGATAATAACTTGAACGTGGTTTTGGTAAGAGGAGAAACTGTGTACTGAACTAACCCTGAAGCGGGAGAAGTCGGAATAGGAGGCATCATAGGTCTTGTGGTGAGCTTCCACCAGACTGGAGATGATCCGGGCCTGCTCCTCATTCAGACGTGGCCTCATCGCCTCCCGGGCTGCCTCCTCCTCTTTCCTCTTTAATATCATATCCTTCTTCCTCTGGACCTCCTCGTCTGTCAGGATGACTGCAACAGAGGATGGAATAAAAGAGATATCAGAATCTCTCATAATGAACAATTGACTAGCACACACACATACGCATAAATTCCTTACATTAATAGATTGTACTCATGCCAATGCAAATGCAAAATGAATTTGAATACATTTAAAAAGAACAAAAACAGACAGCTGCAAACAAGTCTCAGATTTTTCATCAACAGGCAACTCCATTAACACTCCAAGTATAATCAGGTTGTAACTGATCTCACCTCCTCAGTGTGTGTTATCTAGTGAGAGTAAACACATGCGTGGGTCGACACACACGGTGTCACACAGCACACTCTGTTAACACTATGCACACAGGAAAGAACTGAAGGTATTAATTGTTTCTGGAGGAGCTTTAAAGGGGAACACCACCTAAATGAAGAATTATAATATGTTATATTTATGGCCAAGAAAAGTTCAATCAGTTGAGCTCCAGACTTCATACAGGATGACATCACAATTTTGTCTTAGACCACAGAAATAACCCTTAAAGTGTGTTATCGTTCAGGTCACAATGAATCTGAGAACGTGTCCAGATTTTTGTGTGACATTGGATAATAACAATGCTCCCCAAAGATCAAAATATGACAATAACATTTTTGCATGAAATCCCCTTGTAATGTCTCAGACTGATATTTTGTCACATGTTTTGTTTCTGACTGTTATGGCTGTACAGATGTATGGATGTAGGGGGAACAGACAACCCAGAAAAGACAATGCCTCTGGCCTCAGCTATCGCCGATCTGGAGGCATAACGAAGGAAATTGGGTAAATGAAGTTATGATCCACACTTGTAGGAAAGCAGTTCTTGTAACTTCGAATAAACTTAGTTTGAGGATGGATTGTGGCTTTAAGAGAAAAAAGTGCTACTTGTCAGCAGTGAAACAAAGTTAGCTTTCAAAACTAGGTGAAGTAGCTGTAATGTAAGCTCCAAATATTTCCATCCCAGGTTACATGAACCATACATCTCCTGAGCTCCGCACACAGAAAAGGCCTGTCATGTCTGCTGTCTCTTTATATGGCTGATGCGGCGGGTGTTGGATGTTTAAGTGCCTTCTGCCTTATTCATGCTGCAGGAGCAGAGACTGCAGGCAGAGTGGAACAGTGGTGCAGAAAGGATTAGACATACTGTTTATAGTGACTCTTTTAGGTTTGACTAGATGAGAGGATCCTGCGGGAACTCCTGGGTTTGCATGCCACTTCCACATGTCTGAGAGAATCACATTACTTTGTAATCTTATATTCACAACACTCATTATTTATTACAGATCGCAACAGATTTACATCTATCTCTACTGGATTTAAAATAAATTGCAATCCCAGACATAAAGGAGTATTTCATCTTTTTCAATAATTTAAAGCTAGACTGAGGAACTTTTACTTACATACTGTATAAACATCTGTTACATTCAAGCCCTTGCCAAACGAGTTCACACTTTGCTGATTAAACCTGTCGCCACTAAGGAAAGCTCTCAGTATATCACAGTAAACCAGAGTTGTAGTTTCTGGTCTCTGTGGCCACTTTCCAACAGTAAAGCACAGGAAGTGTTGCATTTTAGGTCAAGGGGACAGAGCTAAATGGGGTAGGAAGGGGGGAGAGATGGAGCAACAGCTAAGAGTATGGCAGAAGCCACAGTAGAAAATCCTAAGAAGCGTACAAGAAAAGTTTCTGGAGTGGACGCTCCAGATAAGAAGAAACTCAGCGTTTGGTGAAAGTGTCATCAGTGTGACATCACAGACACTGCCTTTAATTCTGTGTCCCTGTGTTAATCGAATATTTGTCTCTTGTAATATACCAAATATATGTTTAAAAAAAAAATCAGTATTAGATTATTTTTTACATCAAAATCCCTGTAAAACCAGTTAAAATGTTTCAAAAGTTTGATACTCATCCTGCACTCAGGGGCATTTACAAAAGTTCATCAAATCAAATTAGACTTTGAGCAACTAGCTTGCCACACCAGCTACATAAAACCACACGTTACTGGTCAGCGATAGGAGGAGATGGTTGTTTGGATATCATATCAGCATGCAAAACTTCAGTCTTCATTTCCAAAACAATGTGGCACAGGTCCAATTCATTCATCTCTCCTTCATCTTTCTCCTGATCTAACACTGAGGCAGGTGTGTGTGGAGCCAACAGTCTGCTTAGCAGTGGACTATGCTGTAGCTCCATATCGTGCTTAACTCTTAAGCCTGCCCACTTTTTAGTCTCCTACATCCCACATTACAGTACATCGCTCAAATATTCTGTTTCACTATGAAATATGTCACAGTACAGAAGCTAAAAACAATTCACAGGATCTTCAAATGCTGCTACTGGGAAGAATGATGGATGTGCTGAATTCGTGTAAAGTAATCCTGTAGCTTTACATAGACATCAGCATACTGCAGCAAATCACAGAACAGTGCAGCTGTTAACATACTGTGGCCACATAACTGCTGCGCAGCAGTGATAAATAAGGCAATATTATGCACCAAGTACTGACAGTTCACCTGTGGTGGGCCATGAGTGGATGAATATAGAGGAAAGACCAAGTTAGTCTTATAAACAGCAGCACCTCAGTCTATTGGCTTTCTAAAATTTCAATTATAAATCACAGTGAGGAGCGAGTCTCCTATGGCTGGTATCTCAAAGCCCTCTGAGATCTACCCGAACTAAGCAGCTGCTGTTAGTCTGGTTGCTCCAGTTTAAATTGTTGTTGTGAAAAGGCTTCTTTCAACACACAAAGGAGAATGCCCTAAGCCTAACACAACACACTGTTCCCGCAGTACAATATTTTTCTTTTAAAGACGCCTCTCAGACAGCAACAGAGTGAATGACCAACATCTGGATGTGTGCTGCACATCGGGCACTCGTGGTGTGAAACAGGAAACCTTGGAATACAAGCGGTGCCTGAAGAGATTTTATAAAGATGAAAAACAGGCGGCTCAAATGTTCTGTGTGTGAATGTGAAATCTGTAATGAGGTGGTCTGAAAAAAAATCCTCCTGTGCAACATTTCTAGTAAGACTACTTTCTTAAAAAAGAGCTACTTTATTACTTAAATTAAAACACATTTTAACACTATATCACTGTCATTGTTTTAACTGACTTATATGATTATAAATGTCATAAAATACAAACCATGCAAAATATGTGCCTTTCATTATAGAGGAGCAAACTGAACGAACACACACACGAAAACTTTATATACACACATAACTACATGGATACATTACTAAACCTACCAGGCACAGGCCCAGGGGCCCAGAATGTCAGGGGGCCCCTGGGCCTTCACCTGCAAATGTGACTCAAGTCAACACCTACTGACCAGGAAGTGACACAAAATGACCACAAAGAGGCACAAAAAGACATGAAAGAGATGAAAAGGAACTGCAAAGAGACACAAAAGAACTACAAAAACAAGCAAAACAATGACAAATCAACTACAAATAGACACAAAACCACCACAGGAATACACAAAATGATCACGAAGAAATGCAAGGAATGCCAAGAGACACAAAATAACTACAAATGTGCTCCAAACAACCACAAAATGACAACAAAGAGACCACCAGGATACACAAATGACATCAAAAGACACCAAATAACTACAAACAGACATAAAACAACCACAGGGATACACAAAGAGACCACAAGGAGATGCAAAGGACCTACAAAGAGACACATAATTACCAAAAACACACAAAAAGTACCCCAAACAGACATGAAATGACTACAAGGAGAGAAAAAACAAGAATACACAAAAAAAACACAAAGAGATGCAAAGAAACTGCAAAGACACACAACATAACAACAAAAGTAGGCAAAACAATCACAAAATGACTACAAAGAGACACAAAACAACCATGAAAATACACAAAAAGACCAGAAAGAGATGCAAAGAAACAGCAAAGAGACACAAAAACTATAAAAATGGCCAAAACAATCACAAAACAACTACAATAAGACACAAATACACTAAAATACACACAAAATGACCTCAGAAAAGACACACAAATGTACCACAATGAGGCACAAAAGGAATCACAAAATGACTACAAAGTGACACAAAATTACCAAAAAGCACACAAAATAACTGAAAGAGACAGAAAAAAACCAAAGACACAAAAAACAACAGCGTGAATACACAAAAAGACTAGAGAGAGATGCAAAGGAACCACTGAGACACCAAAAAAAAAAAAAACCCTACAAAAATGGACAAAACAACCACCAAATGCCTACAGAGAGATACAAAACAACCACAAAGAAACACAAAATGACCTAAAAGAGAAACAAAATGACATTTATACAAACGGACACAAAACAATTACAAAGAGAAACAAAATTGGCTCAAAGGGGAATAAAACCATAAAAAACATTCCTAACGACTACAAAGAGAAGCAAACCCACAAAAAAGTCTGCGTGTCTTGCTACTATGTGGAAGAGGATGTGGGGCCTTTTGCATATCTGTGCCCAGGGGCCAATCGTCTCATAATCTGTCCATGTATAAACTATATATTAAACATACTCCATTCAGGTATGTGTTTGTCTACTACTTGTTACGGAACATGATGTTTCCATTGAGCCCAGAGACAGAAGTATGAAGAGTGTTACGTCACCAGTATCTGATCTTATGAACACATTGCAAGCTTCCAAACACACACAGGATGCTCTACAGAGAAGACAGAGCTAATACAACAAAAGGAGAATTGTGCAGTTATATATACAGAGCAAATATTTACCTCTGAACCCAATAAAAGGATAAAAAATATAGGCTAAACCACATTTCATATCTTGATTACAATATCTAGCAAGTTATTTGCACAAAGATTTTTATTCTTCAGTATATAGTGGCACCCTAAAAATAGCACACAGGGAACAAAGAAACGCAGAATATAGAAATACTGCTCAAAAGCATGACAGAAAATGTACTGCTATGGCTGGTATTTTACAGTTTCTTGTCACCCAGGGCTGAAGCCTGGCTCTGTGGGTCACT